AGAAGACACTGCATGATACCTTTGTTGAGAAACATGAGGTGGTACATCATCGTTACTCTGAAGGGAATTGCACATTGGTGTAATTTTTCAGGCAAGAATAGCCAGGCAAGAAACATCAGTAAAGGGCAGGTGAATAATAGCAACGCCGGCCTCCTCCACCCTTACCTGCTGTCAGATAAGCGACCTGGGGAGGGTGCTGATGGATCCTGACATGGGATTTGAGCCCAGCAGCACCATGGCTAACAGGATTTATGGAGGAATATATGCAGTGTGTTGCATTTTTATGCCTTTTCTTTAGCTTCCAGTTAACATTTTCTACTTTCACTTTATGCATCTCCTCTAATAGTCATACATTTTGTGTCCTAGCAGAAAATGCTGTTCAATCCTAAGCGTGGGGGACTTGGCATCAGTCTCTGGTCCCTTTATTTCTTTCATTTGGCTATGACCAGCCTCTCTCCTCCTTAGTCATGTGACTCTGTTAGTCATGTGACTCTGTTCCTAGAGCAGTGGTTCTCTGGTTCTCAGTCCTGTTCCAGGCACCCCACCCCTCCAAATTGTTTGCATTCCAACCCTACCTTAATCAGGTTTATATGATCTGTGTATTTGACTGGTAACCTCCCTATTGACATATATATAGAAACACAATATGTTAGGTTGCTGTATTAACCAGCTTTTATATTACATGATATTTAATTAGATTCTGTACTGTATAAGTGGTTGGAATATGGATTTTATACGGTATATTTTTCACCAAATACTCGTTAGGAAAAAGAAAACTGAGATCACTAATCTTAACCAGCTTTAACTAGTAAAGAGAAAAGATGTACAGCAGGTGGCCAAATGAAACCTGGCAAACTCTTCTGTAATAATAAGTGTATTCAGCCTGAAGGCAAGTGGGAGAGGAGTGTTATAACAGAAAACCACAGCCTCTCCTTATCATTACAAAAAAATGTACCAATCGTTATTAAAACACTGAGTTCTTGATCTGCTCTGGACTCAAGCACGTCAAAAAGAGGAGGGGTTGAAATTTCAGGGGGGCAATACTCTGCAGCTTAAATTAAGAACTATTTTAACATTGGTAAATACTATATTACTTCTGTTTTGAGTTCAGTATAAATCTGGTTAACTCTAGATTTAAACTTCAGTGTAAAATTGTCAGTACCTATGTTCTATAGACACTTTATGCCCTAAAAAAATACTTTCCTTCCAATATCAGAGTCGTTGAGGCCTACAAGTTATTGTGGAAATTAATGTCTGTAGTCTGCAAAGCAATTTGTAAGGCTTTTGTACTTAATAGTGAAACTTCTCAGGAAACTGTCCAATTGGAATAGGAAGTCTCAGAAAGCCATACAGCAACACACATGAATCTGGAGGTCCTGCTTCAGCATTCATGACTGGGAAAGCATCCAGGTTAACATTCATTACTGGGAAAAACTGGACATATATGTCTAGATAGCAAACTAAGAACCACAGCTCACAAATGCTCATTTCAGGTTTGCAAAACACCTGTAGGGCTTGGGAACAATGTCCTATAAAGAGATTAATCAAAAAATTAAGCCTAATTATATCTGGCAACAAAGCACAAATGCTGAATTTTAGAGTAATTGACAAGCAATTTACAGGTTCATCCGCTTTTTTAAAACTGAAAGTGCCAATAACTTTTATCAGCTTTTGTATATACTTGAGTTTTGTTGCTGGGCAGTTAGGAATCTGATGAAAAGTGGAAAAGGGATTTGATGAATAACAATGAAATACACGTACATTTACATGCAAACCTACACAAACTGCCCCAGCTTATGGTTTTCCGTGCTACCAGGCAGAGGCAGAGGAAGCTGAGCTGGTTCTGAGCTCAACCATCACTATTACTGAGGTATATTGCATCCCGCTCTTGTGATGCATGAATGCTCTGGAGATGAAGGTGGGTCTGGCCAGCCTGGGACAGGCATTGCTGACGGGCTGCTGTATTCCACGAAATCCATATACTCACAGCTCACCATTCTTCTGCCATATGACATGGGTAACTCAGCATGTGACACATGCCAGATTGCATTGCAGCCATGCTTGGGATGCCACCATTAACCACACCAGAGTACATTCCTGCCCCTCCATCTGAACTGTATCATTTTTCTGAGCATTTTCTTTTTTTGGTCGAATTCACTAATGCCAAAGATCAATGTTTTTTACTTTCAGAGCAGAAGAGTGAGAAGAAATCAACCAAGAACCTTTTTTTTTTTGAGAACATTTCACCTAAGAAGAACCTTGAGGACTTAAAACAAACCAAGCTCAGAATTTTTCATTGATCATCTGATTACATTCTTTTTCTTTTTTTTTTTAAATGCTGCTTATTAGACTTTTCTTCTATATAGGTGTATAAAGGTTAAGGGACAGTTTTATACATTGGTACTCAAATGACAAGCATTTTGCTGCTTTGTTAGGTAACTCTTCTTTTCCACAATAATATTTGTGGAATATATTTCCACAAAAAGCATCAGACACATGTATCATTGTATGTTAGGTGCACATTTCTGGTTCACACAGAAACATTGTTACAATATTCTGGGACCGCTCTCAGTAGTAAATTAGCAAAAAAGGTTTTAGTGATGTATGTACTGTACCTGAAATATCTCACTTCAGAATTGAGTCTCTTTTACTATTTACTTAAAACTTCAGTCCCTTTTATAAAAAAAAATGACAGAAAAACAAATGTTTCGCTTTTGCAAATACACATTAAAAGTGGTTCTATTAGCTTTTATGTTTTCTTTTTTTCATCTTATGAATTTAATACCTGCCTTGCTTGTCATGGGTAAATGCATCTTCCATTATTAAAACCACAAGACAGTCAAGACATCAGTAATAAACCATAACTGGGTCGTAGATTATAAAAATATTTATACATTTTCACTTCTATCTGGTTGCCAGAATTATTCAGGTTAGAACATCTTTGTGGTTATCAGAATGGATCTCAGTTCAAAATGCAGTCTAACTGTTTATTAGGAGTTTATTATTTAAGTAGTTTATTACATAGTAAATGAAGTACAGTCCTATAGTTAATACTATGTTTTGTATAAATTACATCAGACTTTGAAAGCCGGTGGTCTTTAGAGAAGGATTCGCCATTTACAATGAGAGCCACTTCTAAACAGAAAATAATCTGGGGAACTAGGTGCTTAGTCCAATCCAAAGTTAAATCAGCTGGGGTGGGTGGGAGAGAAGTAAAGGCTGCCAACCTGGGGGAGTTAGCAACAGGTAAAACTTGCCCACCAAATTAATTCTCCTTTCACATCCACTCTGCGACATGTCGCAACGCTCATCGTCCGAAGCAAACTGAAATTCCTTGCAGTGCTTCAATGTATACATATATGAGCAAAATACAAAACCTAAAGAAACATAACTGATCTTATTTCTAAAAAGTGTTCTGCGAGCTACTCATTGGCTCCCTGCGAACAACTGGCAGCTCATGGGCAGCACATTGGCAACAACTGCTTTAGAATATGCAGACTCAAGACAAAGCCTCTAAAAAAGCTACCCGGCCTCTTGGCAATCCAGCAGCGTTAGCAGGGGTCCAGCTGGAATTGCGAGAGATCAGGCTGGAGATCAGTCTTCAGACATGGGAGACCAAGCTTGTATCGTGTGCAAATGAATTCAGGCAGTTCGGGTCCTAGCTGATGTGGCTCCCTAGCCGAGCAGCACCGCCGGGGTCCTCTGTCCAAGGCGAGCTGAACCTGGTAGGCAAGTCGGCACCCCCTCAGAAGTTGGCGTCATAGGTGGCCATCTATGTTGCCTGTAGGATTGACAAGCCCTAAATTCAAGCATGAGCCATGACTGCCTAATATGGAATTTAAGCCCAAACCGGGATTGTTTGTGTGCTACTCTGACGTTTTTGTCAGAAGAAAATACCGCAACGATTTGAAAAAGCCTTTAAACGTTCAAGATGGAAGAAAATATATTTCCATTATAAATAAACTTCACAGTATGTATTGGAATCTTTTAGAAACTTCAGACTGGAAATTCACTCAACTGCTGCAAATGCAAGTTTCCAGTGAAATGGAGTAAATCAAACATAACTGGTCGCCAGCAGTGATACTGTAGAACTCTTGTCCGTTCTAATTGTTCAGTTACTTTTGGACTATAGACACCTGCTTCATACTGTGACATTAATATTTAAAAAACGAGTGTTACAGTGTGATTATTAACATACCATCCACTGCACTTACTCAGTATCATTTATTTAAGTTACATGACTTAACGGATGACCTGAAACCTCTTTGATTGGGTAAGCGCATCATGTAAGACTAGTTAGATTTCACACCAATTTCACTGACCAAAATTAAACGAACTTTGACATATTACATTTTTATAGGTTTGCTCTCATACCATGTCAGGCCCTGATAATGGGTTACATATCATATTTATGGATCTTGGAGTGTAAGAAAGGATAGATTGCCTCATACACCCCATATTCATCCATCTCACATCCCTCTTCCATGGCTGCTTACCTAGAAAGGAGCCTGGATGCAAGTTGCCCATATTCAGCATTAACCATTTATTGCTTAAACCTACCTCATTCATACAATATTACTGTTTGCTATAATTTACACCATTTCTCACATGAGCCATAACACTTCTGTGTCATTATGTGCTTCAATAATGCCTCATGAGGTACAGAATGCAGTTATTCGTTTACATTAATATTTAATTTGTTTCATAGCTATTGATTGTAATTCAATGGGCATGTTGCATGAAGGGAGGAGGTCTACCTCTTTCTCCCAGTGAATGAAAATAGAAATACACAGAGTGTGTGTGGACTTTTGTATTAGTGGTGGGATAAAGAAATTTAATAATAACATAAATGTAAATGATCTCTCTGTGTGTTTCAGGGTGCAGAGAGATCAGCTGGCTGGCATCTTTCAACTGCTGCGACAGAAAATGGAGATCTTTGGTCATGTGACAGAAGGAGACATAGACGAACAGCTCAAACTGTACTCCCTCTAGATACAGTGCAATATAACTTAGGGTTTTTTCTTCATTATGTATAATTATTAAAGTACGGATTTCAGATTTGCTTTTAACCTTTTTATTGATCCTCAAGCAACCTGATCACTATGTTTTTGAATTCAGTTTACAGATATATGTCAAATATAAACATGTTATATAAAAAAACTGCAGGGATCTGCAAAAGTCTAAATATTAAACAAATTTTATAATAAATAAAATCGATAAATACATAATTTTGGTTCTCGTGACTACCATTGTACCCCAGCATAAGCAAACAAGCCTTAAAATTTCCCAGATGGCAACTGAAGGACTACAGATGAAAAGTAGCTATGTTTTATGTTTTATTTCAGGCATGATGAAGAAATGCTAAATGGATACCGTATCGGATGTCACATGTTATGTTCAGTCGACGAATTGATAGAAAAAGACAATGACATTAATTTTCCAGACCAGCAGGTGGCGGCTTCGACTTAATTGATGATTTCTTTGGCAGCGTGGAAAGTTCTGCGTTTTGCGAAGGTAATTTACATGAAATGTTTTACCATTTTTAAAATAGTTTCTCGAATTATGGCAAGATCAACTTAAACGTTTCTTACTAATTACTGAATGTGTTTCAGAAACAGCTTTTTAGGCTTATTTCATAGCTAGGGTTAGCTTGACACTCAGTTGACTTTTTAATCAACTTTTGGAAGTTATTCCAATTACTCTCATATTTTAATGATGCTCTGTATGGAGAATTTAACGTGCGCTGTTTACTTAATATCAAACTGTTGCCAAGTACTTCTCAAAATCTTGTAAATCATATAAAACAAAACCACTGCGAAGATGACAGAAAATAGACCTAGGCCTATAACGAAGGAAAATAAATGACTTTGTAAATAGCTTTTAACGTGCTCTAACATAATAGGTAAATATAAACAGTTCTGTAAGTTTTCGTGAAATATTTAGACAATTTAAGTGTGTTTTATCTTCTAATTCATGCAATACGTGAAAATATGGATTTAGTTCGGATTCAGTTTTCAGTAAGATGGACTTTGTAAAAGACTTAAATTCTTGATTACATACGTGTTTTGTTAGGTAGAACTAAGTTAATATTTAAATTATGTGGCGATTATTTGGTCATTTAAAAAATAGCCATTGTGATGGTATTCTAGGCTGTGTTTAACGTTACTATAATACTATCACAGATGTAGATGGCTTATTCTTAAAGTACAAATAATGTAAATGTAGTTGTCATGGTTTTTGGTTTGGAAATTGATGGCTCTTGAGTCAGAAGTGCTACATCACCGCTGATCTGAAAACTTTGACTCCCTGCCTTTTAGACGCAAAATCCTTAGTACAACAAGCAACACGGTGATTAAACAAGTGCGATACACCATCCGGTGGTATCTGGGCGTATGCTTTCATGGTATCCTCTGTTTATTTTGGCGTTGCAGAAATTCCTGTTTGAACAGTTTTGTTTCTGAGACCCCGAGGAACTCCTGTAAGTGGCACTTGGGATCCCAGGGTATGCAGTGCTTATATGCGCCTGAATGCTTCAACTATACTGCGTAGAATAACCCACGTCGGTTCACCGCGCTCTGCACGGCGACTTGTATTTCTGGTATTTTCAGTATTAAAGCAGGTGAGGAAAGACTGATGTTTAGTTTTTTCCAAGTGGGACTGAAGATCGAAGGAATCGAGTTCACTCTTCCCCTGCACACCTGCAATGACAGCGCGGAAGGTCTTACCTCTGACCTTTGCCGTCCTTATATGCCTCCTTTTATATGCCTTTCTGTGGCAGCACATCACGACTTATAACATCAGGTAAGTTGCCTTATGTGAGTGCAGTATTTTCTATGAATGTTGATAATGCAGAGAATAGTAAAAAAAAAAAAAACAGTCATTAAATTACTTTGAACTGGTATCTGCAACATTATTTTGGTGTCAAAAGTTGGTGATTTTTTTTTCCCCCAGTATCATTCGAATCAATTTTTTCGGTAGGCCTATATGAACATGTTCTACCACATATTTTATTATTGCTTTATATTTTAACTTTATTATAATATTTTGACCTATATTGACCTAATCAAAAGTTAACACCAGTAATTTTAAGATATAAAAAGATGCAACTTATGCAACACAATCTGTATTTCCAAGTGTTATCTATTTTTTTAATAAATAATAGTATCTTGTAGTCTTATAGTTTAGCCATAAGGACAATTTATGTCAAAATCAGGAAATATGTTCTGTAAATACAAAAAAGGAAAAATTTTGTAGGCTGTTTAACAAATTCTAGACAAACTGTTTATTATATCAAAAATTATTAATTGTTTTAGATTAAAATGTGGTGCAACCCACTGAATTCTATTACTGAGAAGTACGAGTTGAGTTCCAAGTGCATGAGATGATCCTCTTACAATGCTATTCAAAAAGGAATTCCACCAGAAAAGTAATGCCAATGGTCAGTAAAAGGTGGTGTTTTTCTATTTTTGTGCACACAGACGACATTTCTACCATGCTGCTCCAGCAACTTCATTTGTTTGGAAATATGACAACCCTGCCTCAGTTACTGAACAAAGTGCCACTTTCATGCGAAGCACATGGAAAGTTGAGTCAGTAATAAAAAAAAATCAGTCTTCCAAAAGTCCTGCTGCGAGACCATCCAAAAGCCGAGGATTCAGATACACCGATACAAATGAGGTCTTTGCAAACCCTTCACTGGGCAGCAAAACTTCCCCTATACAGCAAAATACAATAAGTACAAAACTTTTCTCTAAACAAGGAATTACAGAGGGTCATCAGACGGACAGTGTTTCCCTCCAACGCCTGATGTTTAAGGAAGCTTTTGTGAAAATGCCAAAATGGGAATTTGAGGATCTCTATGTTCGAGATGCTAGCCTCAACCAAACGGTGAGTTTCTCTTTTCATCACGTGCATTACTTTTAAGACATTGTTTTTCTTCCAAAAGCATTTTCAGGAGGCATGAACAATATTACTATGCCTGATTCCTGTTTCTTCCGGCTTCCAGTCTTGCCCAAAATCATTAAGGAAAAACACAGACCCTGAGTTTAAGAAGGCCTTCATTTCCGACGTCCGGCTTTTCATGCAGCCGGAAGACCTAAACAGGAATGTTTGGAACCGGCTGTCACACTTCAACAATCCCTTTGGCTTCATGGGATACATGTACAAGGGTAAGAATGAAAGGAGTAAAATCAAACCAGTTTTTACATTTATTTAGCAGGCATTTTTATCCAAAGTGATGTGCATTTTTTGAGAGATGCCAGGTCTCTTGATTCCTGGAGCAACTGGGGATTGAGGGCCCTGCTCGGTGGACACAATGGTGAAATCACTCGGCCAGTTGTGGGATTCTAGCCAATGACCTGATCACATGCAGAGCATCCTACCTACTGAGCCACACACAAAAGTGTTATCAAGGTTGTTGTGATGTTACTAGAGATTTGGTTGTTTTTTCATAACTCATCAGTCACATAAATGTAGATGAAGTTCAATAAAACCTCAGCCTGGTTTTGCACCTTTAACATGATTCTTTTTTAAATGCAGATGTGAAAGAGGCAGTAGATCTAATCCCCAAGCTGAAAAGCCATCAGCTCCTGCCGGTTCCTAAGTCAGGCTGCATACGTTGTGCAGTCGTGGGTACTTCTGGAATTCTTAACGGTTCCCGGATGGGCCAGGAGATAGATTCTCACGATTATGTGTTTCGGTGAGTAAGAGGGGCTATTTTTGTCTATTTTTATTTGGGTCTGTTGTCTTCATTCAATCTCAGCTATAGCTGCTTGTACGTTTACATTTTTGCACTAAATCATCACGGATTTTAATAAATCTTGACATGATCATTTGGTCATATGATTAACCCATGGAACACTGTCATAAACATCTCCAGAAAATTTAGTCTTTGAGTCGTTGCTGAGATATCATGCCTTATAGGTGACATCACATGGTTTCGCATCACTAATGTGCCCTTTCATATCACTAATGTGCCCTTTCACAACAGCCTTTTTTATGTCATCAGTGACACCTGTGCCTACCGTTCTATTTCATGGCCATTAGTGATATGAAAGCATTTGTGAATTTTCTGGAAAGGTTTGTCATTATAAGCTAACTTTTAGTTAAAAAAAAAAAAAAATTGACCAATTTTAAAATATAGGTTTTTTTGCTATTCGGTTTTTAATATTAAGTCACTCAATAGATCAGATTACATCATTTTGGGGATAGCATATCAACGCAAAATATTGAGCGGATAAAGAGCTTTAAAATGATATGAGAACCATTTCTGTGCAACTTTTATTAAGCGAGATATCGCTAGTCAAAGTCCTAGTCACCCCCAGTAGATTAGCTTAAATCCCCCTTAATATTGATCCAAGGCAAGTACAATTTCAGTTCCATGGGATACTCATTTGACTAAATCAGCATGCCAAATTTAATTAAAATCTGTGATGAGGTCCAAAAGCGCTATGATTTGACATTACCCATGTTATTTGCTTATGGAAGCAAGAGAAGTCAAACGCCATACCCACATGAAGTCAAACACCATACCCACAGACAAATATATATGTCTAAAAACCACATGTATGGTTTTTAGACATATATATTTGTCTGTGGGTATGGTGTTTGACTTCTCTTGCTTTCATAAGCAAATAACAAGGGTGACAGGACAAAATGAAAAAGATATACAGTAGGGATGGCCTGATCCACAATCCGATACCGATACAGATTCGATGCAAAAGCTCTTTTTACTTTTTTGATATAATAAATGTATAAAGAATGTATAAATATGTATACTATATATAGTATTAATGGGTCTCATTCACCAATATTTTCTTAAGAATTCTCTTAAATTTGCGCAGACAGACCTACAGTATTTAAAATCCACATGATTGCCGTTACTACTATGAAATTTTTTTTTTACACTTTTAAATTATTTTTTATATTTTACTTTTATAAATTATTCAAATGCTATCATTTTATCAACTGTAGAATGAACAAAACTGCTATAATCGATTATTCTGAAGAAACTATCAATCAGATGTGCATACGAATGGTCTTGAGTGTGTGTAGATTCTGTTCTTAGCTAAGAACAAATTCAGATAAGGAAACATTGGTGAATGTCAGAATCTTCGTAAAAGAATGTGTACGTGGGGTTTAAGAACAAATTTGTTCGTAAGAACGGTTGGTGAATGAGGCCCAATATTTTTTACTAGTAAAAACGAATGAAAAAATGTATGCCAAAAAAGCTTTCATTAGGCTAGTGGTAACATGCATAACGCACTGTTGTACTTGTACTTGTTCCTGTACAACTTGTTTGAAGCGTTTGAGGCATTTGCAGTTTAATTTGAATATTAAAAAATATATTTTAATTTGAATATATTAGTTACGCAAATGGCGAATGCTTAATGTCCCCAAATTTATTACTATTTTTTTTTTTACACAAACATTGCAAACCCTGTTCTACATGTTGTTAAAAGCATAAAATAGTTCCTGCTTATCTGATGTTCTTATGCTCCTCGCACCGCAAAGGGTATGTGAATGACGTCACAGCAGGCGGAAGTCACTGCGCTCACACCCACTGAGTGGCAAATAGACTGAGAGACAGTGTTAGCGTTCAGCTTGAATGTATCTAAAATGGCGAAAGGGCTGGATCGTTCACATATGGTCGATTACTCGTAGGCCTGTCGCGATAAACGATAAATCAATTAATTGCACGATAATTTAAATGAGGTCGATAATTTGGCTGGCATTACCTATAGCTTACGCTAATAGACGTTACTCCCGGACAGTGATAGTGTATGCATTTGGCAATGAAGTAACTATGAACATCCCCAGTCATTCTAGCGGAGAATGTTTAACTTAATATGTTCTATATGTGCTTAAGTACACATTGCGTTAATCTGTATTTGCTATTCTTAGTGTCAAACAGAAACACGGGAACAGGAGAGGTTGCTGCTTCAGATCCATGAAGAAGCACGACAAACATCATAGTGTAAAAGTATGGCAGCACTGGTAATTTGTCAGAGTTCTAATTAAAGCTGTTCAATATTCAGATTTGTGTTATATAGACTCATCAAAGCTTATGATAAACCACCATAAATCGAGTCACGGAGATGATGCAGCGAACGCTTTCAGACAATGTTGTGAAAATACGCTGTATAAATAAAATTGAATATTTAGGTACAGTATTATACTGTATTATATAGCGTATTTTAATTATACAGAGTTCAGTAATTTAATTTGTACAGTACTGTAATTTGAAAAGCGTTTGAAATGGTTGTACTATATTTTGCAATCAAAATTAGTGACGCTGTTCGTTTTATTACCTATTATTCATGTAAGAAATATACACGTGTCAGTTAGACTGAGACATGAAGAAGAAAAAATCGGTTATGATGATCATCTGATTATAATTATCAATTTCACCCAGGCAGACGTGTTCACTGTAAGCGGTAAAGTAAAATGTGGCAATAAATTATATGAAATGTGAGTATAAATATGTTGGATTTGCCGAATTTCCCAGAGATGTGCGTGGAAACTTAAAACTCAATTGTATTTTGAGGACGTGGTGCACTTAGGAAATTATTATTGTTTTTTTAGCTTCTGAAACACAAGTTTATACTTTCTTGAGCTCACAGTTACTCAAACCGGAAGCAAGTGAGCCGTATTTCACACTGGTGGATATGACGTCACAACAACAATATTATTGTTTATAGCAATAATTCCTGGGACAATTTATCGTCGAGCAAAATTTTGTTATCGTGACAGGCCTAATTGCTCAATCAAACTAACAGGTCTAGATCGATACCAATATGAATATCGGGCTTTACGAACGTCCAACTTGCAGACACCTCTAGCATATGAACGAACTGCCATAAAGCATATTAAATTAAACATTTTAATACAATGGTTCGTAACGAACGCACGCACTGCTTTGTGATATTCGTGATAACACTGCGCAGCTTCAGCAGTTCGACAACTCGATGTACAGAACCCTATGTAGTTGCTGTTATTACTGTATAATTATGCACTATATTATTTTTCCGACTTACCTATACATTTGGCTTAAAGACAGACTTAGGGAATGGATCTGGAGACTGCCTGTATAGGGAATTAATTTGAATTGGGCATTTTTAAATTATTTTATTAGCTGAATTAGTCAAAACTAATGTTTTTTTTCATCCAAAGAAAGCGGCGTTGAAACACAATAATTACAGTGTAGGAGGGTGTAATAGCGAACCACTTTACACCAACCCTCTGGCTTAAACATTTTTGGATGTCCAGTTCTACATTTGCACCAGCTCAGTGCATTGCAATTGTTCTGTACAAACTGACAACCTGCGTCGAGTATAGAATAGTGGGAGAAACATTCGGTGTCTTCATGACAACAGTCCACCGCTGTATTTGCACATTTTGCATGTTTGTTGTAGGAAAGATGCATGATAAAAGTCACTGTTGACTTATTTGTTCTTTCCTTTAGAATGAATGGTGCCATTATAAAAGGGTATGAAGAGGATGTAGGAAATAAGACTTCAGTGTATGTCCACACATCACATTCCATTCTTGGTACACTCTATGAGCTGGGGAAGTATGGCTTTACCAGTATCCCTACAGGTGAGGTACGTAAACCGGCAGCAGTGGATATCCCAGGACCTCCACAGGGCTTATTTCTTCATTGATGGTTTTTTTAAAAAACCGTTAGGGCTTAAATTCCAGTTAGACCTTTAATAGTGGCTGGCTGGATTGTGCCTCAGCTTAAAAGATCTATACAATAGTAGATCTGCAGGGTCTCAAGTGAATTGAAATTCTTATCTCTCCTAGAAGTTAATGCTTATGTGTGTCTCACCTGAAGTGTGAAATACACAAGTTTGACTAACATAAAATGAGAATGTATTTTGTATCCAATTTCAGTTTTCATCCAGTTCCATTCCAATCTTAGCCTTGTATTTTTTTTTCACAATTCTTGTGCAGGGCATCAAGTATGTCTTCTTACCAGAGGGGTTGCGAGATTTCCAGTGGCTCCATGGTCTGCTGAATAAGGTGGAGGTGTCCAAGGGGGAATATCAGTATCTAAAGTAAGAGGTCTTTTGCTGATTTTGTTTAGGAAGAGGATGAGAGAGATTCCAAGAGGTTGGAGCATCAAGGGTGGCAGTTTGTAAAGCTAAAACCTCCAACAATGCTTGTCTTGTGTGTTGCAGTGCCTTGAAAACATACTGAACCCCCATTAAAAAAAACCTTAGATTTGCTTAAGATCAAAAAGTAAGAATGGAAATGAACTTATTTGGATGAGCAGACATTTGAGCTTCATTTATACAGAGCTTACAGTTAAAGATCATGTACTCAAGCATATGACACCCAAAACTGACTGTCATTCTTATAATATAAATAACCTAAATTGCAGATTTGTCACAAGTAAAATGTAAGCACACCCATTGTCTCTGGTAAAAAAAAAAAGAAAGTTTTTTTTGGGCCCCATGAAAGCATATCGTAATTTTGCTTGTCCAGATATTTCATTGCCTAGTTCACTATCATTGCTGAGTAAATGAATTATGGATTTTGGTTCACAATTGCCACTTTACTTTTCCGTATCAATGAGAACAAAAAACATGACAATGCTGGGAAGAAGAGGAGCCATTGCTTTAGGTGTGGCCAGAAGTTAAATGTAGTTGGTCAGCAGTATTCTGGCGTCATATATGGCTCAGTGGGTTAGGACTCTGCTTGTGATCAGAAAGTTGCCCTTAACCCAACTTTCTCCAAGGACTGCCTGACTAGAATCTTATTAACGCTACGTTGATCGTAAGTTCTATGTGAAAAGAATGACGTAATAGGGAACGAAGTAACGTTAAGGTTTCAAGAAACCTGGTCCAGGTCATTTCATTTTAATTCAACAAATGGCCTTTGCATCATCATTTTTGATTTAGATGAAACTTGGCATGTGATTTATACCTACCTTCAGAAATGTTTTTTTTTTTTTTTTTTTTAAATAGTGAAATATACGTAACACTCTTCTGTACTCTGGATAGCAAAATCATGAGTTTGTTTTTGATCACAGCTGCATGGCTCGTTTAGCTCACTGGAAATAATAAAAAAAAGTACTTTTCATGGCATGTACAAAGAAAAGGACTGCTTGTCAGTGAGGAGGGAGGATTGTGAAAAAAACATTCACAAGATCAATTTGTATGACCTGGAAGAACAATTCCAGGCTTTTAAAGGAAGATTTTCTGAAATGAAAATAGGATTTTCAAAATTTGCCATATCATATATTCTGAAATATTTACGGTTGACTGTCTACTGTAACTTAAAATGACACACGCATATTTTGTGAAAACTAAAGTTTTTTAAGATAAACATTTACATCCTAAGGTTCTTCAATATTGGTTAAAAATACTTAAATTATCTAAACACATTCTGAGGTGAACAGAATAGCATCTTAAAACTGGCACAGTACCTAATCTGGCAGCTGATACTCATTCCTGCAGAGACGAACCTGGGCTCATTACAACATGCATACACCTGTTGGCAGTTCTAGTGAAGCATGATTGGAAATGTCATATAATCACTAAGGTGTGAAGACAGTTGTTGCAACACGTCACCCACTAACATAACCTAGGTACATTGTAAGCTATTTTTATGAAGAAAGAAAATTACATTTAGTGGACAAGTCATTCCATTTTAAACGACATTAAGATTAGTCTGTCATTTCAGTGAATTTCAGAGTCTCGTGACTCCTACATCCGTTTGAATAACGGCATTGTTTTTCATTTGAAAGCAGGTACAGTTATTAAAGGGTACAGTTATTAAATTCTAATGTGTGTTCATAATATAAACTTTTTGGGAGTCAAAACAAGATAAACTACGAGTGATTTGACCACTCCGTGACGCTTCAGGATTACATTATGATACAAACATTTTATATACTTGCGAAAATAAATGGTTCCATTTTACTTCTGATCTGAACAGTTCTTGCATCAGACAGGATATGAAATTTCAGCTGAAAGGAGTACTGCACATTTTCTGTCAACGGGATTAGAAGTGCCAGTGTGGCTTAAAAGCGCGGTACTCACTTCGCGATTCACTGTGGTGTTTACGCATGCTGCCAGTGTTTAGGCATGCTGCCAGTGTTTACATTTTGTTTTGTTGTCATGATTGAGTTGGTGTTGTCGCCGTACAGTCTGCATACCTGTCATAGCAAGGATTATCAGTTCCGTATCGCACAGTGTGATCGGTAATGATTTTATTAGATTGCTGAAATCACACAATGTGTACCGGTCATTACACTTTAGAAGTATGGTGTGGCACGCTGAAGGTAGGCATGCCTTCCCTGCCTTGTTTAATATGACTGTTTGCAGTTACGGTAAGCTGCACTTATCTCTAGATGTTTCCTTAAGTTGAACATGGACTGTTTAGGTGTCGACAACATCTTTAGAGCCGATAAACACGCACTGCATTGCACAGTTAAATTTGTGCATTTTCCCGTAATATATCGGAAATGTTTTTTTTTTTATATATTTCCAGCAATGGAATGCATTCCTTTCCTTGTCTGCTATTGCCTGCAACAGAAACTCAGACCGCTCAGGCAAGTTAATTAGCAGAATTGGCGCTGCAAGTGTGGACGCGAGAGGATAACCAATCAGAAGCATCGAATAGTTTCAATCTTTCGGCTGTGGAGGGAAATAGCAAAGGAGGATGTTTTGCATAAGAAAAACACGAAAAGCAATAAAAAATACTGTTATTAAAGATATTAGCAAGGTCTTTCATACAATCTTATGACGTAACTAAAATTGTAATCATGAATATTTCCATAAGTAACTGTAATTACACTTTTTTCTCTAGTAACTGTAACGGATTACAATTAAATTTTTTTTGTAATTAAATTACGTATCGCGGTTACATGTAACTCGTTACTCCCCAACACTGTTAGTAATATTATTATTATTGTTTTTTGTTGTTTACTATTATCACCATTATTAGTATTGTTATAGATAAAAGCAATAAATAATTTAAAATTAGTGTCAATTAAGTATCAGTATCTTATTTTTATTATTATTATACCTTTTATATTTGTATCCTATTTTGGTGCCTTCAGCCATTGAAGTGACGTGCAACCATGCAAACAACAGTTTCCATATCTTGTGGAGTGAGGGGGACTGAAGAGGCCGGGTGTAAACAGCCAAACCGATGGGCTGGTTCGATCCTGCTGCAGAGAGTCACTCCATTTTTTTTAAATAAACGCAGTGTAAAATACAATTCTCAAGGTGAACTTTTGACCTTGATATAAGAAAGTTAAATAAACTTTAAATTAAATTTGCCACAAAAATGTAAGGTAAACCATGCTGCTATAATAGTTACAGATCATAAGAAAGCACTATGAATTATAATTTGTGGCAGTGTGACGGTGCTATATCTTTTTTTTTTTTTTTTTTAACCAAAACGTTTCTGAGCTGTGGAAAGTAGGAGTAATTCACATGCTAAGATTCATCAAAATAAAAAATGGTGATGGACAATCTTTCTTGGTAATTTATAAATAAATGCATACTTCTCAAATTTTTCTCCACCTGATTTCTAGACCCTGGATGTACTACCCTAACTCACTGGATTTGAATCGATTCTATGTCCTGCACCCAGATTTTCTCAGATATGTAAAGAACAGGTGAGAACATGAAAGCTATGTTTAATGTTCTAAAAGCAAAGTAGGTTATTCGGGTGAGAAGTACATTTTCACTGGGGCTGTTGCATGGCTCGGCGAGTAAGGACTCTGTGCCTGTGATCAGAGGGTCATTGGTTCAAATCCCATGCGTGGCACAGTGATTTAACCATTGGGCCCTTTAGCAAGACCCTTAACCCCATTTTCATGAGTAACTGGCAGACCTTGCTTTCCTTCTTTCTATGTCACATTAGTGAATGTCAGTGATTAATCAGTATAATTTGTTAAATGGATTTAGGGTGCCTGCATCTGCTGTTTGTTCAATCACAGGTTCATGAGGTCTGCTCAGCTGGAGACTACTTACTGGCACTTCTACCGACCCACTAATGGAGCGTTCACCCTGTTTCTGGCCCTGCAGACATGCGATGTGGTGAGGGCACCTGCTTCTCCCCCATGCCTCGCATTGGTCAGAGCCGACCCCAGCATGGTGCCTTTCTTTGTGAGCACAAATATCTTTCTCTCTCTCTCTCTCTCTCTTTCAGGTGGATGCATATGGATTCATTACAGCCAACCACAGTCAATATCCAAACTACTATTTTGAAAAGATAAGATCATCCATTGTTTTTTATATCAACCATGATTATAATTTGGAGATTAAATTATGGGAGAAATTACATGATGCCAAGGTCATTAGATTGTATAAAAGGAAAGAAAAGGACAATACTACAGACCAGTTCTATTGAAATTGCAAAATATTTTTTTCCTTCATATGTGTTCTGTTGTTTGTGTAAATGTTTTGTAATTTTTCCTTATCCTGAGCAAGGTTTGTCTGTTTTCAATTAAATTATACTTTCAACAATACTACATTGTGTGTCAGTGTTGTCATTCCTTTTTTTCCCCTGCTTGTCCTGCCTATTTATGCACTTTATGTAGGACTACAGTCCTGGGAACATTATTTCGCATCACCATTTGCAGTGTAGCTACTGAATATGGTAGCTGTGACAATAAAACTCCATTTGACTCTTGAGCATTGAAATTCAGTTTGTAGTGAATTTATACGTCACAAGTTGGTTAAACCATTAAACAAATATTACAATGTTGTCCTTTTGTGTTAATTCTACATTAATTTGGGGACTGAATGTGTAAATATTTATATCTCGAAACTTTGAGTCCAAAGGAAATTTACGCATCCAGTAGCTTATATAAAACGCCACAATGCAAAATAATAGAAAGAAGAGATACGGAACATGCATTGAGTACAGTGCGTTGCTGCATCCACCACACGACAAACCACCTCAGGGATGAGTGCAGCTGTGTAGCGGGGTGATGCCTCAGCACCACACTAGTCCAAGTGGACCAGTGTGAGTTTTTCTTTTCAGTGGCTCGGGTGCCAATCCTGCCACCAACCCTGTAAGTTGGAGGACCTCCTTATAGGGCTGGAGGAAACCACTGTAGGGTAAGGGCCTTGCTCAAGATCCCAATGGAGTAAAATCACTCCAGGCATTCAAACCAGCAACCTTCCGAGTGACAGCACAGATCCCTATCCTCAGAGCCATCACTTCACCCAAGGAGGAAGACGAATAAAGAATAATAAGATTGACTAAACTGGCAATAGTAACAATAATTAACGATGATGATGATGAAAGGTACTAAGAATACTAATCATTACAAAGTAACTATTTAGTAGTACAGCATTTGCCGGTGGATGCAGTGGTAGTGTAGGTGCAAAGGGATGTGCACGGAATATAATTTAATTTATGGCATACTGTAAATATAAAAGTTATAATAATGCTAAGACTAATATAAATACCATAAATGCTTTAAAACTGTAAATACTATAAATACATTACACTCTCCTCAGCAGCCGGTCCAGCTGTGTAGCATCAGTCTTCTTAATGCTGCCTCCCCAGAAGACCACAGTATAGAGGAGAACACTGGTAACAACAGACTGGTAGAACATCGGCAAGATCTTCCTACAGATGTTGCTACATTAGTTTTGCACTGAAGTTTTAATGTTAGGTGGGATACTTACGATTTATCAATGAGAACTCCTTTTTTTTAATGCATCCTATGCCTTTATATATAGGGGCATAATATGATTTTAAATTGCACAATATAGCTAGAAGCAACCAGTTTGTCCTACTTCATTCCAAAATCAAGAGAATTAGCTTCTACTCTTCAAGGAAGGCTTTCCCCTGGATGTTGGAAGGTTGCTGGTGGAATTTGTTGCCATTCCGCTTAGTTATTGTCTTTTGTGATCAAGTCCCTTTATATAAGCAATTGAATTTGCTCACGGACATTTTCGCTTCACAATCATTTCACTTGTAGTTGATCAGTGCAGCTCAAGCAGTGAAGAAATTTGCTGAACTGGCTTGTTGGAGATTTTATTACTGTGTGCTTAATTATGCACCTGTATCAACAATGGCTACGGCTATGGACATCTTGATCAATTGACTTTCCCTACCAGCCCCAGGAGGATGAGCTCCTCCTCTGAGGCTGGTTCCTCCTAAGGTTTCTTCCTTCTAGGACAGGGGTGTCAAACTCCAGTCCTGGAGGGCTGGAGCCCCGCACATTTATGGATTTCCCCTCATTTAGCACATTCCTTGTGCTAATTACCACACTGCTCTTGAGTGGAATCATTTGTGGTGGAACTGGTAAAGTGCTAAGCTACACAGGGCTCCGGCCCTCCCGGACTGCAGTTTGACTCCCCTGGTATATGACATGTCATAACCGATTGTATATGTCATGACTGTTAGGTTGTGTAATCATTTTAAATGACTATTTGTCTACAGTATGATATGTTATTAAATAACATTGTAAACCATGATCTTCACTAGGAAAACTGATACAAGCTGGACTGAGATTGTTGGAATCACTAAACACAAATATTGTTTAAAATTTTGTTTTACAATGTAAAGTGTATAACAAACCTTATCAAATTAAATTCCATAAAATTTTATGCAGGAAAAAGTTCATATCAAGCAAAACCTCTTACCAACAAATATACAACCTCGTGCTTTTTAGTTTTTCCACATTTGGAAGAATAACCTTTTTACCATATTTTTCACTCACCATCTAATTTTTCTTTACAAAATTTGCAACAAACAAATAAGCTTCCATTGCAGATTTTCATACTTGTTTTTTCACAAGCTAGAACGAAATGATAAAACCACACTGGACAGTGTAAGACTTTGCACCTTCCTAAAGTATTCCTTAAAGTCAGTATTCCTGTTGGATAGATAAAATAAATAGCCGGCCGATTTATTGGTCACGAGAATTCAAGTCGTGCTTGTGTGTTTTTTGAATGTTAGATACGGAGGCTGAACAGAACCACACACACAGCAAATATTTAACCTAGTCATTGGTGTGTTCAGAGGCAAATATGGGAAGGATGCCTAATCACTCCCATTGGTTTTTCCTTATTGTTAAATATAAGTTGTAAATTATAAATTATATGAGAAATTATATGAGGCTAGTGGATGATGATATGGGTCATGCCATATTTGCCAGGTGTTTTAATCTCTTGGCATCTCATTGACATAATTCATTTAAAGCAAATCAGATCGAAAGCAGAGATGGTAAATCATCTGCATTAAGATGTGTGCTTAGTCACAGTGCTGGTCAAGACCCAAGGCTTCACTCCTACAGTAAACATATAGCTCCTCCTTTTTTTCAACTACATCGTTGTGCTGTGTTCTCTCTCTGTATTGTTTCTAATCTATCTATAGTTGTCGACCATTGTCCTACTACTATAAATAAATGAATGGCGTAAAATTTATGATGTAAGTCAAAGCATGAAATTTCCAACATAGAAACGGATTGCTTTCTGTAATCCAGCACCAAACTGGCAAGGCACCTGGCACCTGCAGTTCAAGCACAGAGCAGAAAAAAACTATGACTGACCTTTGTACAATATTGTCAATGGGACTAGCCATTTGCAAACAATTTCTATTGATGCCTGTCTTCAAGGATTGTTAAGTTACATTATATTTTTATAATCAGAAATATGGTTGTGATGATCTGAGGACAATTGTTGGCATTATGTAACAACTAATTAAATTAATAAAATAAAACGTTACTGTGTGCTTAAATAAAATTATTTTTTCTGTTATAAACTCAAAAACACTTCCTTCTGGTGCTGAAGTGCTGTTATTGCAGCCAGTTAATACAATTAATGGGTGAGGATAAAAACAAAATGGTAAACCATAGGCAGGGGCACCGTAAAAGGGAGGAGGGGGGCAGTTAGGACGGTTCCAAGGGCCCTTGTAGGTCAGGGGCCCTAAAAAATATGGAATATAATATGATTGGTCTGGGTGAGGGGGCCAGTATGATATGCTTTCATGGGGCCCGAAATGTACACCCCTGACCATGAATATAATTTTTGGTGATTTTACCAGGGATCCTTTTCCACCAGAGATATTATGTTCCATGTTCGTAGAGCCAGTTTCAGTAGCCGAGGAGGCTCTTATCTTCGACTGCCACTTGATCCACAAATTATCCAACACTCATGGTCCCCCTGCAGATGGTGGGCCTACAGGAGGGTGGGCCTACAGGAGGGTGGGCCTACAGGAGGGTGGACCTATATGGCTCTTTCGAGCTTTTCCCGATTGGGCTCCATAGGTAGAGACCCAAACCACTAGGCACTTGTCTGTGACCTCCCCCCCAGGCCTACTGATCCAGTCAAGGTTACATAGTCGAAAGGAACCAGTTGAGGTGGTTCAGGCATCTATCTAGGATGCTTCCTGGATGCCTATGTGGGGAGGTGTTTCGGACATGTCCAACTGGGAGGAAACCCCAGTGCAGACCCAGGACACGCTAGAGAGATTATAACTCTAGACTGGCCTGGGAATCAAATCAAATCAAAAAACTTTATTTGTCCCCGAGGCCAAACGCCTTGGTACTCCCCCGGAGATGCTGGAGGAAGTGGCCTGGAAGAGAGAATCCCTGCTTAGACTGCTCCCCCCACAACCAGACCCCAGATAAGTGGCAGAAAATGGATGGATGGATGGATGGTATTTGCTATTCATTTTATTTTAACAAATGTACATGTGTATCTTAGTGTGGCATAGCCTGTAATGAATGACTGGTTGGGCTTTCTCACCTTGCACCTCCTGAGAGGAACATACTCTCTCCCCTCATCGGAGAGGAGCAACCTGCTATTTTGGAAGAGCACTATGGCTTCAGATTTGGATATATTGATTCATGTCCCAACAGATCTTTCCAACACTGCTTCCTGGTATGAAAGGTTGAGGAGTTCCTCAATGTGTTCCTTCCACTGGTCAACACTACTCCACACTGGCTGCAGCCTTCCTGGCCTGTCAGCTTTCTCAGGTGACCCTGGTACACATATTGCCCTGAAGGCCTCCTCCTTCAACTCGACAGCTTTCTTCACCAGAGCTGTCCACCAGCGGGTTCTAGGGTTACTGCCAAAACAGGCAGCAACTACCTTCTGGCCACAACTCTTTGCAGCTGCTGAAACAAATGACTCCTTGAACATGGTCCATTCAGATGCAATTGACATGCACAAAAATACACTCAAGAGTTTCCATCGCTGCAACTCACAATCCACCAGGAGAAACTCCAACTGCACAGCACTTGTGAGTATCCCCACTTCGACTTGTGGTCTTTCACCATGGGGAACTCTAGAGTAGGACAGACGCCACCCCAGATTAAGACATCTGGTTCCAGAGCCCACAATGAGAGTATAAGTTGTATAGCCAATGTCTTCATATATCCAGCACTAACTCTGGCCCCTTACCCCTCAAAGAAGTAATATTCCACATTGTCCACTGGTAAGATCTAATCCATCTGTATCCTTTCTGATCATGCCTGCCGCCCCAATGACACTTCACACTGAATCCACAAGATGGCGTCATGCAGTAATTTCAGCTGAGCTCAGCCAGGTTATGCAGGTGGCCTGGCCACCAGGCATTTGCTGGCAAACATCTCCCCCAATCCCTGGCTCCAGGAATAGGCCCCAGTACAGGGTAGAGCAGGGTACACCTTTTGGTATCTTTCATTGGGCATCTGTGCTAGATTGTAGCTTTGCCTCTCCCCACATATCTGTTCACCAATGGAGGCCCTACAAGCTTCAGGTGCACAAACAAAGGTAATGATCTTTCAAAGAGAATGGATATCATACGGAGTACAGTTAATCATAAGAAGCCATTTTAAGGATTATATAATTTAGATTTTATATCCTCTTGTTTCTCGCACATTCTTCTCTATGCAATTTGTCAATGCCCAGCTACAAGACGCTTGCGTAATTTATAGTCTAATAAAAAATAAATAAATAAACATGAGAATGTTGTTTAAACTGATAAGTTGATAACTTCAAATCCTCCCGGATACCTCATTTTTTATCTTTACCTTTCTATGTGAGTTACATTTATCTAACCTAAGAAGCAAATAAGCCAGTTTGCGGGGGCTTAGTCCCTTGGGAAAAATAAGGGCAAAAGTAGGAATTTAAAAAAAACAAACGCTTAGATATTTATGAGCCTATCGTTGAATGGCCTGATAGTTCATTTGATGCCATTGTGTTTTGCACTTTAATTTGAAGCAACTTTTACTGACGCAGCTGGTCCTCTTAGTAGAAGCAGATTGTAATATCTTGTGCAGGAGAACCACAGCAGACCATTTCTTAGGATTCAAGTCAGAAACCCTCAGATTACAAGCCTGAGTCCTTTATCACTGCGGTACTTTCCACCATGGTGGAGTTACATGTTTGTTCTTTCTTGTATCCATTCTAGAAGTTTTTATCCTCTCGATGATTTTTGGAAGAGACCCCATAGTCTCTGGTGGAATGTGAACAGACCACTCATCTTTCACCCACATCAGACCAAACTGTTTTGTATTGCCTCCGTCAAAAGTGGTATTAATGATTGGCATAAGAATGGGGATATAGGGTTACCACTAAAGACCTCTCTCTGAAACTGATGCACAAAACAATTGATTTTGAGCTTTTATGTCATAAAGGCTTTGACGTTAATTACAGATGCTTCTGACGCATGATTCAGCCATCAATGACGCTCAATGAAGACTAGTTGCGGGCAAAAAATGTGTTTGATTTGTTGTAAAGTGCATAGTTACTATTGACATTGCCTATTGTATGTAGGTTGTGGCATTATGTTTAAGCTACATGGGACAGCAAACTTCATTTTATATTGTTAGGTGATATTTGCATATCTCTTCAATCAGGGGAGGTGCACTATTGTTAACTGTTGCAGCAGATAAGCACACAGTAACGTTATTTTAATAGATATATTTGGTTGATTTATTGTTTCAGTCAGTATTATGTTCATTGCTGAGTTAAAATTCTTTAAGAACAAGCACATAAACACTTATTATATGTCCACGTGTTCATATCTAGACAAAACTTGTTGTAAGATATAGCTAAGTGCTTGTTTTAAAATATAAAAATCACCAACGACTAATGACAAAATTACTTCATATAGTGTGACTCGTCCCTCTACTTGTAAAATGTCAGCAAGCAAAAATATTTTAAAATGTCATAAAAACCACAGAATGACCAAGTTTCAGCTGAAGCTTGGGATAGTGTCTATCATTTGTAAATAAAAATAATTACATTTGAAAAACCCAGATTAGGTTAAGGCCTTACAGTTCAGTCTTGTTTTTATGTTAAAACTTTTTAGCATTAGAAAACCTTCTCATTTCCTCAGGAATGTTTAAGCAGAGTATGTAACAGAAGTAACTGTTCCATGTATAGAATTTTTCCTCTACCATGTGCCACACAGTTAAAACTTCTTTATATTTGTTGGATATATTCATATTATTCGCACATGTTTCAGAAATATAAAACATTCTTTCCAGTTTTTATGGCAAAGACTCAAAAGGGCAATACTTACCCAAAGCATATTATATAATAACTACAGGACATAAAAACAGTATTTATGTGTTATGCTTACTCTGAGGTTGTGTTTGCCATTTACAATAGTTTTGAGAAACATCTCTCCCTCAAGGAAAAGCACCACAGATTTGTAATATTTTATTTCCAAAAACAGAACAAAAAAATTCTGAGATAGACTGCTTCATGTGTTTTGAAGAGCTTCATCCATTTGTGAATTGTTTTTGCACCTGTCTGTTAGCTAAAGGTTGGAGAAAATTTAGAGCCAAAGAATCACTCTCATGAGCCAGATCATTTTTCATCCTTATCTTTTTTTTTGGTGAAGACAGTTCGCAAAATAAACACCACAGGCTATAGTTTTATGGCCACATCTGTAGTTTTCCTGTAGCTATTCCCCAACAGTGAATGTTTTTTTCCAGAAAAAAATCTTTATCCCAAAGACCATCTAAAAAGAAAAAAAAAATTAGTGATCTTCGTTACCGTTGTTTGTTCAGCTTTCCTTGTTCAAATATTGAAGAATGCTTGTGTGAATAAACAAGAAGCTTGTCATAAACTATTTAAGTCAGTTACTCCATCAATTCATTTTCCATTACCCACTGATACTATATTGGGTAGTAGTGATCTTGAAGCCCACCTCAGAAAACACAGCCAAGAAAGTGGACACCCTGTATGAGATGCCAGTCCATTATATATAAGGCATTCAGTCACACACTAATCAAGACACTAGATCACATAAAGCACATGTTTTGTACCAAGGCTGAAGCTGGAATACAGGAAAAAAAACTGTGTGATCACTGGGAGAACATGCAAACTCTGCAAATTCTACTTAAATACACAGAACCAAGACAGAAATTTAACCCACAGACCTGGAGGTGTGAGGCCACATGGCCATATTTTCCAGTACATTTTTCCTGGAAATGATGGTTCAGTGATTTAAGTCAGGGAACATAATCCAAGTATATAGTTATTAGACCCCAAAAGCACTATGGAGATGCATGTTTGTAAGAACCGCAGTGTTCAGAATGGTGGCCCAGCCAGTACAGTAGTCCAAAAGTTCAGCACATTATAAAAATGCAGAAAAAAATACACGCACAAAACTCAAAAACATTGAGAAAAAGTATTTTTTCTTTCTTTCGATAAAAGTACCGCGCAGCATAGTGGTTCAGTGGGTAGTGCAGCTGCCTGGATTGGGGATTCAAATCCCACCTCTGTTCTGTTTGTGTGGAGTTTGTTATCCCTGTATTGTGCAAGTTTCTTGTGGATGCTCTGGTTTCTTCCCCACAGCCCAATAACATGCAATGGCTGGGTGCCCCCCAGCTGTATGCCCTATTTTTATTTTCATTATTATCTTGATATACTGGATACCTAAATTACAAATACTGCCCGCCCCGCATGTGCTCTGTATGCTGTCTCGCCATATTGTGTTGGTTATATTCTGAAGTCTTAAAACTAATTGACGTCGCTATTTTTCTTCCGCGTCTCAGACTTTAGTCCATTGCAATTGCTGACAAGATTTGGAGTTAACCGCGATAAACATTCATCTATACCACGCAAAAACGAAACTAAAAGGCAACGATGCTGATTAACCACTAGATGTCACCAAAAGGATAGTTTCCTACATTTACTGCAAGAGATCAACTAGAATCCAACACTTTAACATAAATTATCTTGAAGTTGTTTGTTAGGTATTAATTTAGCATCAGCCTACTCAACAAAAGAAATAGTGATACAAGAATACAGAAGAATACAGAAGAAAACCTACATAGACTGCGAACTTTTGTAAATTATACCATGACAGTTAAATTTTAGGTTCATTTTTCATAGTCGCAGGCAACAAAGGGACGCTCAAGGCAGGTAGACTAACATGAAAATGTATCAAATTTCATGATATTAGAAATATCCCAAGGAATTCGATGCAGATCAAAACAGCACAACAGACAGTCCGTCAGAAAGCCCAGCTTTTACTTTTGTCAAGGTATGCCCTCTTCTTCGGGCGGAGGGGGCGGGACCTAACGGAGGGGACGCGCCTCTCTGATTGGAGGAGATACCGGGCCGGTGGCCGCTCCTGGGGTTGAACTCGGAGTTTCATCACGGCGAAGTCGTGGTTGGTTGTTGCCACTTTGTCAAATTTAATAGTTTACGGAAAAAAACGGACCTGTGATTAACGGTGTGATATTTTTTGCGTCAGAAATGATGTGACTGAACTTCCATGGATTGTTTGCGAAGCGAGCTCGCCAGAAAGCCGACCGCAGCGATTAACGAACTTGTCTCGAGCGGACGGGACGGTCCTGAAAAGCACCTTGACGCGCCTGTCTACCTTGTTAGCTCGCCGGCTAATCGGCATTTTGAAATGTCCCAGCCGACAGGAAGGTGAGACTTTCAAACAACATCTCGGGGTAGAAAACCAACGTGGCTTAAGCTTTATCCAGTGTGGACTGTACTTGTGTTGTTTTTTTAGTCGTTAAATCCCTTGGCGTTACTCTTTGAGCTAGCTGGCCGTTTTGGTGTCCACAGTCGTACTAGGGATTGCCTATGTAGACTTTTCCTTACTGCAGAAGGATGGAAAGTGTCCAAAACAGTGACTGTGACTCATTTAGTTGTTTAACAAGGTCCATAATTTTGTTCTGGATAACTTTCTCCAGGTAAAGGCTGATCTCTTCATTGGTACGCTCAGCATCTGTCGGTCCAGAAAAGCACAGTATGTTTTGTGCACATTTAGTCGCTGGAGTATGATGGATTCATATAAAAGGGTTTACATTAGCTTTGGTTTTATGGACATAAATCTTGTGGGTCACGCGGCTTTTAATTTTCTTCCCACCTGTTTGTTTGTAGTTAATTATCTCACACGTCTTGTACAGGTGATTTATAAGTTACGATACATTTACTCGTGTGGTGATTGCGACTATGATGGAAAATGAATGACATCGCTAACCAAAAATGATTTCTAATGAATCAATGTTCATTACACAGTAAATATCTGATCGTGAGCTGCATTGCAGTGTGAAGGAAGACTGCCTTCCTACTTTTATGTCTGTTTTTTCTGAGAGACTACTGTAGTCTGCTTCATTGAAAGTTACATATGATTTATTAGCAAAATGTAGCTCGGTACTAAAATCAAAACGGCAACTCTTGGTCCGATGCGTTGTGAACCTTTTTTATAAAAGTTTTTCTTTGGTTTTTCATTTACGAAGTCGTGCACAAAATATACCAGGAACAAATACTTCAAGTAACTAACCGAAAGAACGGGGTATTATGTCCTTTTCTAACCTGTTAAATAAATAAATAAATTATATATAAAATATATTACATGAGTTTGAGCTTACTTATAAACATGCACACAATGAACGACTATATGTTAGCACTCACTACGTAGGGCATCTTTATCATGTAAATATTACAGAAAGAGGGGTAGTATTTACTCAAGGAAAGGTGGAACACAGGACTACTGTTGCTGGAAAAATTACCGATCTGGTTTTATACACTCTTTGTTCTTTTATGGGTGTGTAAGCAGACGCTGACAAGTTATATAATGTGGTAGCAGGAGATTACAAAGTGCAGCTGAGTGCAGACGCCCCGGACAGCTCCTTTTAAGTGCATAGTTAGGTCAGGCTTGATGAGCCCCATGCATCTTTGAAAAACAGAAGTCAGAGTTGTCTTGGGGCTGACTGTTGTCTGTTTTCTACTGGCTGAATGCAGGAAACTCCCAGTGAGTGACCTCCCTATATCTCCCAAAGTACTCAGGCAGTTTGTAATAGTCTTGTTTTTGAATATGTGAACTCCTGTTTTGATAGATAGGCGTGGAGGATCTGTTTCCTCCAGACCCCTGTTGCCGTGAGAACTTGATGGAGACCTTCATTTGATCTTTGATCATCTCTCTACACTAATTTGCTGACAGAATGTTGGAAACTTCAGCAGGATATTATTCTCGAACACTTTGTTCATGTTCCCCACAGTGAACAATTGAGGCTGAGTGAACTGGTCACTGCAGCGGGCTTCCTGCAGGAAAGGAGAGTGCTCTGTGCGAATGCTGGGCATGATGCCAACTTCCTTTTACAGTGATGATTACTCCTTCGGTCAATTTCCAAACAGATTGGGCAAATAGGATGGAAGTTAGCTGTGAACATGATTTCTGGGTAGTTTTTTCCCCGTTATAGTTCATGGTATTTTTAGACATTGTTTAACCTTTCATTCCATATTACAGTGGTGGAAGACATTGCAATGACTGCTGTCTGGTTCACTGCTGGTCTCATTGCTGATGTTGGATTTATGGCATTGCATTGATGGCTCTTTTTGTTTCTTTTTCTTTAGGTTTTGCCATGGATATTAAACTGCCTTGAAGGTGAGCTGAAGCAACAGTCTGGAAAGAGAAAGAAACTGAGGCCAAATCAGCATCTTTACAGTGTTATCCACATAACAGGAGGACTGAGAGCTGGCATCCACTGCTGATGTGACAGGGTGATTTCAGGCTCCACCGTCACATCCATTACAAGCTCCTCGGCAGCTGTTCTGCGATCCATAGGCGTAGTTGCCAGGCCCCGCTTCTCTGGATTTAATGAGGGGCCTATGCAAGATGGCCTCTTGAGGTGACGAGAGGGGCATCACACAACTGTGATTAGTGACCTTCAGGGAACGGGAACCATGGGCAAGGAGCAGGAGCTCCTGCAGGCGGTCAAGAATGGAGACCTGCCCTCCGCCCAGAAGCTGGTGGCAAAGGTGAAGGCCAGTCGCAGCAGTGAGTCTTCATGCTTCTTATTTTCAAAAGGAAATGACTGTTAACTTATTGGGCTATTTTGTCGTGGAAGTTTATCTTACTCTATCACATATGATAACTTTAATAGCAAGGGAATAGATTAATGTCAAAACACTTAGTTAAAGACATGTGTCCAAGACAACTAAATGAAGGACTGGACTGTTTTTACCTCTTTATTATTCTGTTCGTGCTCTTGACCTAGTTAAAACTTAGAGTGACAGAAAGTATACTAATTCCATAGTCCTGAACTAAAATCAATCTTAACTACCAGAAAGTTAATTGAATGTTGGGCGTTTGGCAGTGATTAGATATGAGATGTGTTGATTTATCACAGTGCAGACAGGTGGTCTATGTGTGGAATGTCATGCCTGCCAACTTAAATCTCTTCTGTTTGTATCCTAGGTGTATCAATACTCTTAAATCCATGTGTGAATACTTTCATTTTGTTAATTAGGCTCCTCAAGGGAAACTATAATACTCTTCCTGACAACGTTTGTCACTCATCATTGTCATGTCAGAAGTTGAGTAATGAATGTTCAGTGGGCTGCACATAAATACTTTGACAAGAGCATCTGAAATGAATGATTATGAACGTACACATGAGCAACCTAGACTGTAAATGTGAAATATTTATTCAACTTTCTATTCTCGAAAATCAGCGCGAGATTTGTGATTGGAGCCAGCCAGCCAGCAGGCATGGGGTTCCTCTTCTCGGAAACTGAGGTTGTCCTCTATCCTTTAACCTCTGATGTGCTAGCCTCGGGGAGGGCTGGACTAGGAGGGGAGTGTCCCATTTACACCACCCAGTTCCCTGAAAGGGTCGGTGGCTCTGATTGTTGCGGACTACCCTTTGATCTGCTGGTGAGGGACAGGACCCTTTATGCTCTTTGCTCACTGGCTATTGGACGGCCCCCACACACATCTGCTCCACACCCACTAGTGCAATCATCATTCCCATTCTTAAGTATACAGGGATATGCAGGATTAGAGACCTTGGTGGGATCTACATGTGTGCGCAGGAAAAGCAATTCCTGCATTATTTATGTGCCAAGGATGTGAAATTTGATAATGGTGCAAATTTATTATTAAAATCTGTAATATTACTTGTAACAATTTGATACTGACAGATTCAACAGATAGTACTGTCTGGTGTTATCTAAAAGACAAATCTCAATTTAAACTTGTATAAACTCTGAAAAGTGGCCAGATTATCAATAAATAGATGGCTGAATCCTTATCTTTGTTCTAGAAGCTTTTTTGGTTTTTGTGCCTCTGCGCTCTTCTTTCATTCTGCACTCAGAAGTTGTTCTTTTCTCAGTGTGGAGTGTTAAAGGTTAGCCATGGTCATGTGGGGAGGGGGAAAATAATCTTACTTTATTGAAGTAAGTGTTTGTAAACTCAGGTTTGCCTTTGAGCAATCATTTCCAAGGCTCCCACTTTAGAAAGCACTTAAAGTGATCTGAGTTGAGAATAAAGGCTACAAACTGGAGTATTGGTGAAAGAGGGAGTCTGAGTTTATTTTGGCAGTTGTTTCTCCATACCTGAACCAATTCCCCCACTTATGTCTCCACCTTCTGAAGGGTGCTGGTATCGTAAATGGTTGTCAGTGGCATTTGGCGCATGGCATTAAAGCCTAGTGACGGAGCAAGCAGCACTGGGGTGGGTCTGCCACCCTCAGCTATGGCCTAGGCTGAACACCTGCTGTTTGCTATTCTCAGCCTTGTAGCTGTGCCAGCTGCCCCCCTCCATCCTAACCCCCCACTTGGCCAGATGAAGGCTGATTGACAACCCAGATGAGAGGGGAAAGCAGGGGATGCAAAGAGCTAGCTTGACAAGTAGTCCTACGTGAAGTTTGTGGAAGGGGGTATCAGGTCATGAGTGGTCCTTTAAAAAGTCATTGTTTAGGGTTGGTATCTGTAATGAACTGAGGTTAATGTAGGATGACCTGCAAAAAGCTCTGCTGGAGGCCTGCCATCATGCAGCCAAAATGGGTCTGCGAGTAAAAACTAAGCCCCATGAGAAAAGTGGCCATTCAGAGGCACTGAAACCTCATCAGCAGTTAGAACCTCCACTGCAAACTGTTCTGCCATGTGTGAATGATAACTGTTTGCTGAGAAAGCACATTTTAATCCAGGATATATCACATACACTCAGTGACCACTTCATTAGATATCCTAGGGTAGGGCCACTTTCTGTCTCCAGATCCAAGCTTTGCATTTGGAGATGCCTTTCTGCACACTACTGCTGTAGTGAGTTGTTATTTTTGGACATTTGACCTTCTGTGGACAATTCTGTGGAAACACTTTAGTGGGTGAACATACTAAGGGGGTGGCTGTTTCTAAGATGCTGGAACCACCACGTGTGGCAACAATGATCACACCACAGAAATCATTTGGATCACGTCTTAGCTGAGCTAATGTATACTAACATAGTTGAACACTTCTGAAGTGTTTAACCCTGTCTGCATACTTTGTGTATATTCAATTGTAATGGCATGGTTTACCATTTGAGTTAATGAGCAGGTGCACCTAATAAAGTGGCCAATGAGTGTACAGTATGTTTATTTAGCTTTAACAATGTAAGTTCACTTGTTCCCTCACTAAGACACTGTTGCATATATTTTGATTTAGTTTAACATATTAGGAGATGGAGCTAACCCACTGCTGTTTCAATAGTCTAGTCTTGCTGCTATCAGTGTGTAACTGTATGCTTAAGATGGTTACAAAGGTCATTTGGAAAAACAACACCTGGAGGGTCTCTGCAAATAATGACTGAGCCCAGTCTTTATATCTGTCATAATTCTATATACTAACCACATATTGTGTGCCCTGCGTCATGCAATGGGTCAGCTAATGGGCACTATTTTTAACTATCCCCTTTACATTGAACACATGAAAAATATATTTTCTTAAGTGGAACTCCAAGAATGCTCATGGATTCCTTTAAATATATAAGCATCTCATATATATTTTTTTCTCTCCGTTCTCTGTAAGGTACCTGCAGTCTGACTTTAACCACCCCTCCATCTTTGTAGAGTCCCATGTTCTGATGAGAATCACAGTCTGTGGTTTCATTTCAGTGTTTTGTCACACACACACACACACACACACACACACACACACACACACACACACACACACACACACACACACACACACACACTCTAGATCTGCCCTGACAGTAGGAAGCCTGGCTTCTCACTTAGCCCCTTGCTCGCCCTCTCTTGGTCTCTGGAGGTCAACTCTGTTTACACCCCATGATGGACCATTATATCTCATCCAGTGAATTGCCTGACTGCTCTTCCAGTATGTCTGACACACTCTTGGCATGCTTTGTCTCCCCAACCCTCATAATCTTATCATTTATTTTGTCTAAGTCCTTGTAGAAATGATCTGATAGGACACTTAGGATGCTGGATATTGAAATTAACATGCACACTGAATATAACAGTGATCTGGCTATATATTTTTTTCTGCGAAATCAATATTCGATTACAAAACGATTCCTTTCAAAAAATTGCAAATTTCAAATGGGAGTAGTATAATTGTGTTATTTATGCAAATAAACTTTCACATTTGGATACATCATGCCTTGTTTAATGTTGTCATGGCTGTGCCCTGAATCCCAGGTGAAACTCCAGTATTACATTTTAACAGGTGAGCATAAAGCTTAGCTAATTAGTGAGGTTCATTTTATGGCCTGTTTTTAAGTTTGATGCCTTGTGTTAAGTTGCTTTTGAGTTCTGTGCTATTGACCATATTGATGTTTACTATTGGTTTGGAAGGTTAAAGCAATTGAAGTCTGGCTGATGCAGGCCACCTGGGGTCCACTTAAATATTCACATATATGCCAAAAGCTGGCCTTTCTTGCAGCTGGTGCAGGAGTTGACCTCCAGATGCAGGAATCTGCAAAAAGGTTAAAGCTTGATAAAGCTTTTGGAATCCAGCATTACTCCCCTTTTGATAAAGTCCCCAGACATAAAATGCCACAAATCCCATTGTTTTTAAATGTACACAGTAGTTTCCACACCCTGAAATTGTTTGTTGTTCTGTGAGAACAATAGCCAAATCTCAAAGGTAACAAAATGTGGAAACAAGGGCTGAGAACTTGGCACCTGACCTCACAAAAATGGAATCTTTAGTTGAAACAGAACCTACTGAAACGAAACACTAAGTTTTCCTGACATTTTCTCTGTAGCCGCAGGCTCTCGTGTCTCGCTTATATTTCTCAGACTGAAAAAGGATCCTAGTAACTTTGCACCAGCTGTTGTCATACCAATGAGCTGGTCAGAGGTGGTGCTTGCTAAAGTTTGTAAATTAGTATCATTTTTAAAAAAGTATGCCATCAAGGACAGATCATATTAAAAAGACTAGGCCAGCAATTCCGGATGCTCACCTTTCTCATAGTTCAAAAACCAAACAAATGTGATTGATGTGGTGTTGAATTGTTTTTTTTGCATGTTTTTCCCCCTAAGATACCCAGGGGTGTCTAAGGAGGGGTTTGTGAACCACTACAAAGTGTGAAGAAACAGCCTTATTGCTTCCTCAAGTTAGTGAAAAGTTTTGTGAAAATTTGATTAGGACAAGCCCTTCCATGTGTTCTTCAATAAACATAGAAGTAAGACTTAAAAAAGCTGTTATTGAGTGCTTAACTGGTTAGTGTTGTTGATCAAGGCTAATTATTTTTAGAGCCCTGAGGGAATGAGGCCCGCAAGGCCTTAGACTGTGGACTGTTGCTCCCGAGCAAGTTTTCTTGCTTTGTGGTCAGGTCTCAGAGTGATGAGTACTCACTACACCTGATTTAGTTTCTGCTCTGGTGCTGTTCGTTTCCAGCACTTTTGAACGAGATCTGCCAAGCGGACCCACCCTGCTGCTTTGCATACCTCCAGGTGCTGTTCCGGTCAGTGCCGTTGGTTATGTAATTGCAGGTATGGAGTTTTTTATGTTTAACACCATTAAAAACGGCAAGTGTAGCAGTGTGTA